CACACAGACAGCCTCTTCCCAATATGCGTTTTTGCAATTTACATGTATGCAAAAACGCATAAAAACAAAACGAACCAGACATGTTGGAGCTTAAAACGTCTGGGATGAGAACATCCACAACTACTTGATAGAATGCAAAATCCATATTTTGAACGAATGCTTGCATTTGAGGCACGGTACACAGCCGAAACAACTGAATTTGGCTAAGTCCTTTCGATGATTTCCTGAAAAAAGCTAGCAGCTAAACTCTGTTGGTATTAAAATCCACAATAAACAAAACAATGGGCACAAAAATTTTATCGTTATTTTTTCCTTTAATCAGTCCGCACCCGAAAGTAAAAATTCAATTTAAGCAAAAAATTAGAAAACCAAATTCCGATTTGAATTTCAAATTCAATTTCTGCCTTTCAATTTCGCATTTTCTCATGAATTTTTTCCCATTTTTCATATGTTTTTGAAATGAGTACCGCAAAAGCGTGCCAAATGCTGAAATTTCTCGTCATTTTGCCAAACGCAAAAAAAAGCAGCTGTATAATTAAAATTCACTAACTCGTTTGGTGCGCAATCTTCTTCTTCCATATCTTCCTGTTCATTCTCGGGTTGCCAAAATGTCAACCAACATTCCTCAACCGCATCAAAATGCAGCTGCTTAACACATTCTAGCACCTCCTAAAAATTTACGGGGAAAATCCTTGGGTTAAAATACGAAAAAGTATTCAAACACTAACGTATCTCCACATATGTCACTTGCCGGTAGATTTGCTCGAGTAGTCTCAGTTTCAGCAAGAATCCTCATAACTCAGCAGCAAAGTAAGAGGATGAGAAAGTTCACCATCTAGTTTTTGTTTCTGCTTTCATAAACTTGCCACTGCACCAAAGGAGATGAAATGATCCAGTTGCAAAGAAAGGAAGGGAAAATGGCTTAAATGATTAAAAAACATGGCCGGAAAAGTAGTAAAATCGAAAAAACTCGGTCCAGAACGCTAACACCATCTGAGTGAAAAAGATAAAAGCCTTAGCACATCATCATTCAGGAAATGGCAAGCCATTTCCACTCTGGAGCGAATTAAGTGCCGGATATCTTTTACATAGACAGATTTGAATCACAGACATTCAGCTTGCATGGGCGCGTCCCATTTATATTAATCACCAAGAATACCAAGACCGCCCGGACAATCGGAGTGAGGATCCCATGTTGACAACGCTTACTGGTATGCTCTAAAGCAGCCTTCGATCCTGGGCAGCACACC